ATGATATCTGAGGTGAAATATAATGGTAAACGCAGCGATCAGGCTGTTTCCACCAGGCTTGGTTATGAAGGTGAAACTGTTTTGACCTTTAACCCGGTCAAATGTCACCAACCTGATTCAAGTGTACCCCTGTTCCATTTATAGGAATGCTCACAGCGAGGGCATGTCTGCGTGATGCTGAGCGTCCCCTTGCTGGTCTTCTCCATGTTGCATGTTCGGCTGCAAACTGGACATCTCTCGAACAACTGCAGCAGGCAATCCTTATAAACAATGTACTTCCTCATGAGGTATTGTTGACTGGGAAGGCCTGTGACAGGGTGATACAATAGACAGCGGTAAATTGCATTTTGTTATAAAGAAAGGACAAAGCTTTTTGTTAATGCACTTCACAACCAAAATTGACTCTACTATTTGTATCTGCTTGACTGGGTAATGAATCTACTAGTTTATCAAACCGGGTATTTTTTTATACAACTTTTCACATAACACACATTACCATTGTCGATGAAGCCATCTGTGTCATCAGGGCAGTAACTCGGGTCAAGCTAATGCTAGCTCATCACTAGTTACCACAGCCACAAAGGCTGCCTATTTCTACAATTTAACTTATTAAAATGGGATTTTAAACATAACCCTAACCCTAACCACACTTCTAACCTTATGCCTAACCCTAACCTTAAAATAAGACCAAAAAGCAAATGCATGAATTTTTACGATATAGCCTTTGTGGCTGTGGTAACTAGTGGAAACCCCTAATTCTATGTTTTACAGATATAGACTGACTGTAGCACCAGATTGGGTCAGAGGGAGCAGGCGCTCCGCGTTAAACGAAAGGGGACAAGAGATGTGAATTGTTTTGTTCTCAAGAAAAGGGCTCCATTGTAGCTCAGTTGGTAGAGCATGGCGCTTGCAAAGCCAGGGTTGTGAGTTCGTTTCCCAGGGGGGCCAGTATGAAAAAATGTGTGCACTCACTAACTGTAAGTCGCTCTGGATAAGAGTCCCGGTGTTTGTGATGCTCGTCGTTTGGTGCGACGCAGACAGGGTGGTGTGAGTGGTGGAACAGAGTCGCTGTCTGTTCTATTGAGTCTTTGCCCGACAAAGTGATGTTAGGATATATAAGTTATCCTGTACGAGCTTTTGTGCCAAATACATTACGCTGTTACAGGTGTCAAGCTTAGGGCATGTGGCAGCAGTGTGTAGGAGGGAGGTTCCTAGGTGTGAGAAGTGTGCAGTAGGGCATGAGACAAAGGAACGTTTAGCATTGGGGAAAGTAGTGGTATGTGTTAATTGTAGGGGTGCCCATGGGGCTGAGGATCAGAAATGTCCGGTGCGAGAGAGGCAGGTTGAGGTTTCCAGGGTTAGAGTAGTGCGGTTTTGCATCCCCCTTGGGCTCGTGCGGTGGAGGAGATCTTCGTGGGCTATACTCTGCGTTGTCTCAGGGTAGTAAGTTGGTGGTCTGTTGATATCCCTCTAGTGGTGTGGGGGCTGTGCTTTGGCAAAGTGGGTGGGGTTATATCCTGCCTGGTTGGCCCTGTCCGGGGGTATCGTCGGACAGGGCCACAGTGTCCCCCGACCCACCCCTTTCTCAGTCTCCAGTCTCTATGCTGCAATAGTCTATGTGCCGGGGGGCTAATGTCAGTCTGTTATATCTGGTGTAATTCTCCTGTCTTATCTGGTGTCCTGTGTGAATTTAAGTATGCTCCCTCTAATTCTCTCTCTCTTCCTCTCCCCCTCCCCTCCCGGAGGACCTGAGCCCTAGGATCATGCCTCAGAAATACCTGACCTGATGACTTCTGGCTGTCCCCAGTCCACCTGGTGGTGCTGCTGCTCCAGTTTCAACTGTTCTGCCTGCGGCTAGGGAACCCTGACCTGTTCACCGGACATGCTACCTTGTCCCGGACCTGCTGTTTTCGACTCTCTCTCTACCGTCTCGACCTCTGAATGCTCGGCTATGAAAAGCCATCTGACATTTACTCCTGAGGTACTGCTGGCCATCTATGAACGTTTGAACATCTTGAAGAACAATCTGGCCTTAAATGGCCATGTACTCTTATAATCTCCACCCGGCACAGCCGGAAGAGGACCAGGAACAAGGCTCTGAGGCCACCCCACAGATCCTGGTTCCTATCTAGGTTTCCTCCTAGGTTCCTGCCTAGGTTTCTTCCTAGGTTCCTGCCTTTCTATGGAGTTTTTCCTAGCCACCGTGCTTCTACATCTGCATTGCTTGCTGTTTGGGGTTTTAGGCTGGGTTTCTGTATAGCACTTTGTGACATCTGCTGATGTAAAAAGGGCTTTATAAATACATTTGATTGATTGCAGAAGTTGCCGTATGCTGAGGCAGTGAAGAAAGTAGAGGAAGCTAGGTCAAAGGGGAGGGATCCTGAGAGGAGTGGTGTGAGTAGTAGATCTGTACCAGTACAGAGGGATAGGCCAACAAGTGATATATGCTTCAGAAATATTGTATTTTTAGCGTTTATAGCAATGGCTATCAACTGTACTGCAGAGATGGAATGTAAGTTTCAGAAAATTGAGGTTGTGGTGGCAGCTGCAGAGAGGTATTTGGGTGTAGGAGACTTGACGTCAGAAGAGTTACAGGGTGTGTTGAGTGTCACGTCCTTTCAGGTTGTTGGCCTAAGGTAAAAATAGATTTAAACAGTGGAGTAGGGTGGTGGGTTTTTAGTGAGTGTAGGGTTAGATGGTAGGGTATTTGTTGATTTATTTTTTATTTGCAAGCAAAGTACAAGGGAGTTATACTCCAGTCTAGTAGGTGGCGGTAATGCAACATTTATTGGATGCCAACTGCCGTTAAACCTCATCGAAGAAGAAGTTCCAGATTGGATTAGATTCAGGCAGGTTGACGCCGTTATAGTTTGTTGCTCTTAGTTCACTGCATTAGTCAGACTCGGACATGAGTTAGCTACCACCGTAGCTGCATCCATTATTTAGTGTTCCCCTAGACAATAAAGAATAACCTTATATGAGCTACGAACTAACTTGCAAATCCGACGTGTAAGCTAACGTTAGCTAGCCTGCCTCGCTAGCATTATCAAATGATAACGTTACATAACCAGCAGTATCTAGACAATACACTTGTATGAGCTATACGACCTAAATTGTAATGAGGTAGCTAGCTAGTTATCTAGCTAACGTTTGCTAGCCTGCCTTACTAGCTAACGTTTGCTAGCCTGCCTCGCTAGCTAACGTTAGCTAGCCTGTCTTATCAAAAGATAGCTACATAAGCAGCAATAGCGTTATCTAACGTCGTTAGACAAGTTAAACCTTCCCAAGTTCTCCAATGTCACCCCACTCCTCTGCACACTCCACTGGCTTCCAGTCGAAGCTCGCATCCACTACAAGACCATGGTGCTTGCCTACGGAGCAGCAAGAGGTACTGCCCCTCCCTACCTTCAGACTATGCTTAAACCCGATACCCCAACCAGAGCACACCATTCTGCCACTTCTGGTCTCTTGGCCCTCCCACCCCTATCGGAGGGCAGCTCCCACTCAGCCCAGTCCAAGCCCCTCTCTGTCCTGGCACACCAATGGTGGAATCAGCTTCCCCCTGAAACTAGGCCAGCAGAGTCCCTGCTCATCTTCCGAAAGCACTTGAAACCCTACCTCTTCAAAGAGTATTTTAAATAATCCCCCTCCTCACCTCGATTTACGCATGGAGTTTGGCAAAAGGGGGCATGATTTGTTGACATAATTGTAATTCAAACCCAACCTTAATTTACTGCTTGTGACGCACTGAGGTTCCAAACTCATTTTTAGATGAAACTGACTTTATGTTCAAAATTATCCTATTTACACTTTATAGTCAGTTTTGGCAATATAATACATTTTTCGGACTCATATTGATGCCACATATGCTGTTTTCAAAGGGATTAGTTATTTTTTAGGGGCAGTTGCTCTTTAAGAGCACTGAGACCTGAAGCAGCTCTAACTAGTGATGCAGCCTGGTCTCATAGACTAGACGAAACATAGTAAATGTAAATCCGGGACACTCAAATGAGTATTATAGGTTATGTTTGATATGGTTACATAAGACAGCAGGTTACTTAAGGCAAAATGAAAGTATGGTGGTTGGTCAGGGTGGATGGGTAGGCGTATAACGCGAACATCTAGTAACCCAAAGGTTGCATGTTTGAATCTCATCATGGACAACTTTAGCATTTTGCCTAATTTGCAACTTTGCAACTTCTTACTACTTTGTACCTACTTTGCAACTACTTCGCATGTTAGCTAACCCTTCCCCTAACCCAACCTTAACCCTATAACCTAACTCCTAACCCTAACCCCTAGCCTAGCTACGGTTAGCCACCTAGCGAACGTTAGCATTAGACACCTAGTTAATGTTAGCCACAACAAATTGGAATTCGCAACATATACATTTTGCCATTTTGTAACATATTGTACAAATTGCAATTCGTCACATATCATACAAATTGCAATTTGTAACATATCATGCGAAATGGATGATGGAGATCCACAAATTAATACACACCATAGGAAACATCACATATCATACTAATCGGCATACCCCGGATTTACTTTACTATGTTACATCTACACCTGAGTCCAGGTTGCAGCATGGGCATTCCAAGTCTTTTCGATGATCCGGATATTTTGGCTCCATTCACCTAAAAGAGCTGTTCAGTTGGCTCCCAAACGGCTCTTCGTTCAGTAGTGCTTAAAAATGTATTAAAAAAACATGAAAAATAGCAAATGTCTAAACTGTGAGTTCAAATACATTTTTAACTGACGAAATTAGCTCGCTGTTGTTGTTTTTTTACACACCGCAAAAATCTAGTGTGGACCAGAATGAGGCGCTCTCGTCACTAGGACCTATTGTTCCTTCAATGAGGAATTACCACCTTCAGACAATGTTTTTATACTGTATCTACATATAATCGTTTGCATAGCTGTAGGCCTATGCAAATCAGGGAGCCAAATGAACGGCTCTTTCACACATGCGATTCGGTTCCCGACGTTCACTAACGACCCATCACTAGCTCATACTAGAAAGCAGAGGACACATTAGAAAGGATCACACTAGGAGGATGCCAGCTATCAGCCGCTGCTACCGCTGACACCCATACGAACCGCCAGCGAGAGGACCACTGACCCAGCCCGCAGGGCGCAGCCTCTATGCGGGGCAATAGAGGGGCCGTGGGCGGTGTGTGTGCGGATTCCTTATGATATCTTAGACGCTCTTTTTCTAACACCATGGTGCTGGGCAAGGTGAAGACTTTAGCCGTCTGCTTCGACTGTCTCAACGACAACAACGTCCCAGTTTACTCCGGTGGTGATTCGGTCTCCGGGAGGGTGATCATTGAAGTCGCGGGCGAGGTTCGCGTCAAAACGCTGAACATAACCGCCAGAGGAGTAGCCAAGGTGCGGTGGACCGAGTCTCGCAACGCTGGGGCCAACACTGCCTACACTCAGAATTACACCGAGGAGGTGGAATACTTAAACTATAGCGACACGTTAATAGGAGAGGAGAGAGGTAAGGGACAACCACATCATAATTACCACTCATTCTCACAGAGATGTGCTGCAACATTTTGAGGGTAGGCTATATGGATAGGGCAGGCCTAGTTCAGGTTGTTCTGAAATAAATAGATAACCTAGAATTGGAACATGGTTATAAATCATCTGATTCCTGCCATGTTAGGGAACTCTGCAGTGCCATTGCTGTGGTTATAGGCTACGCCATTTGTAAGTTACGAGTGATGATGGGTTCAATTTCACATAAACTGCATAACACACACATCATACATTGATTGGAACAAATGACAGATGTCATTATGTGTGCCCAGTTGATGGGTTCTCTCAGTCAGGTGGGATAGTGGTCCTGATGCGACCAGATAGTCATGGTGCAATGCATAGGTTTTCCTCATCCAATTTAGGCTGTTTAATAACGCATGATGCGACATAAATATTTGATTCATGTATGTTTTATTATGACACATTACAATTTATGTAGATTCTACCGTAGGTGTGCTTTATTCACATTTAATAGTCATAACAAGTTGTTAACGCCGTCTCTGCGTTTTATGTGGTGGGGGAAGAAACCTCAGAATTTAGTCCAAATTGGACATGATTGGGCCAATCTAACCGAAAGCGGTTTAAGTTGGAATATTTTCGACGTTTATTACTGTTTTCGTTGTATCATTTAATCAGAAACATTCTTTCGCTGATGACATCCTGAAGTTTACTCCCTTTGTTAGAAGCGGTTCAAACCTGTTCACAAACTGGCTGAGAGGAGGCGGCGCACCGGGGGAGAAAAACCTCTGTCGCCTCTAATTGGTCTAAACTCCCACGTGAATATAGGATGACGTCATTCCTTCGAAGGAAATTACAATTCTAAAGCATGCAACTTGTCTTCAATTTGCTGTTGTTACGTTTCCATAGTGTACTGTAAAACGATATATATATATATATATATATATATAGCCTAAAAAATACGTAGGCCTATCCAACACATCTCTCATAAAGTAACAGATATGTTACATCAACAGTTACTATATTTTAAGAAATGTATCATTGCAGTGAGCAAAGATTTAGAGTAGTACCCTACTAGGCTACTGAGGTTCAGTTTCAGTCTATAACAACAGTCCCAGTGAGATTTGCATAATAGCTGTTCTAGTGGTACATGTAAACTGATACAGTTAGGATTTATTTAGCATCTTTACTGGGCATAACAACACCAAGAGATAGGCTTAAAAAATCCCATAGTTAGAATACACCCGTAGTAAAAATACACTCTTGACATAAGACAGCAATACAAACATATATGCCAGAGTAAGTCCTATCTCATATCTCATAATTATGACAGTAAATGCACCTCTGTGTGGGCAAATCAGGATCTTGTTGCCAGGGTAATGTCTGAGAGCTGAAGACATATTTTCTCGAGAACATTTTATCCACCACAATATGACATCACCAAGACCTCCAGCAGAAGACTGGTTGCCTTCTCAGCAACTGGCAACCTAACCTATCGGTACCCTAAATTCAGAATAGGCTTTATGAAAACAATGTTAATCAGTAGGGTTTATTACAGATGTAGGATCTTCATTTGATCACCCTCTTGAAGGAGGACTTTCCTGCAATGCAGGACATTTTTTACTTTGAGTGTATTTGAGGTTTAAAAGGGCCTCTGAAGTTTGTAATTTTCACTTCGAAATTTCAGATTTGCTTTTCCCTTGCAAAAATTTTTATCAACCCCTACACAAATGTCCATTAATTATAATCCACATAATAATTCACATTTCCTGTTGCTGCAGGATTGTTTTCAGCTGTAGCAAACTGGCTCAAATTAAGATCCTAAATCTGTATGTAGCTGGCTGGTAAATGATGTCATGTATGTGCTGATTATCTGTTTACCTCAGAGGTGGGCAACAGCTTTGAACCTGGAAAGCAACATGTTGTGCAGGCTTTTGTTCCAGGCCCGCACTAACTCACCTGATTTAACTAATAGGGGTCTAAATAGCACATATGTGGGATCTTAATTTGATCACCCTGTTGCAGGAGAACTTTCCTGCAATGCAGGACATTTAAAACTTGTAGTGTATTTGAGGTAAAAAGGCTTCTGAAGTTTGTAATTTCCATTTTGAAATTTCAGACTTGATTTTCCCTTAATCCTGACAAAAATGTCCATTAATTATAATCCACATAATAATTCACATTTCCTGTTGCAGCATGATTACTTTCCTGCTGTAGCAATCTGGCTCAAATTAAGATCCTACATCTATAGACCATGATTAGTTGACCCAGGTGTGTTAGTGCTGGGCTGGAACAAAAGCCTACACACCATGTAGCTTTTCCAGGACCAAAGCTGCCTGCCGGCTACACTGCTTTTATCTCACTTGCTGTTGAAGTACAGTGCATTCGGAAAGTATTCAGACCCCTTATTCTAAGATGGATTCAATAAATGTTTTTCCTCATCAATCTACACACAATACCCCATAATGACAAAGCGAAAACAGGTTTTTAGAAATTTTAGCAAATGTTTATTAGTTTATGATCTGTACGTTTTTTATGTTTTCCTAGTTTTTTTTGCACTGTAATAACCCTCATTGATGCTGTGTGTTGATTGATTGATTGCCTCTGATGAATTTGTAAAATAAAATATGCTGTTGGTTTTTAATAAAGATGCGTAAATGTACCTGCTCTCGAGTCCCTCTTTATTTATCTGAAATACTACAGTCTATCTCTGCTGTCTCTCTTTTACTGCTGAATGGCATGAGGGTTTTTGGTGAAATCTCTCTCCCTCTCTGTCTCTCCCTCTCTGTCTCTCTGTCTGTCTCTCCCTCCCTAACTCTTTATCTCTCTACCTCCCTTTCTCTTTCTCTCTTTCCCTCCTCCCTATATATTGCTCCCTGTCTCTTTTTCTCTTTCTCTCTGTCTCTCCATTCTCCCATATTACAGAACACATGGTCATTCATAAAGGGCCTTAGTCGAGGGGCGGGACCAGGTTAGCTTTGCTCCAATGGGAGGCTGAGTAGTAATGTTGCGTTGGAGGATCCGGCTGAAAATCCACTGCTCATTCTGGTTCATACCGGTATGCCCCTGCTCTCCTCACTCTGCCGGTGTGACTTGACAGCCACACAGCCACACACACACACAATGTTCTCTACACACACATTTACATTTTACATTTTAGTCATTTAGCAGACGCTCTTATCCAGAGCGACTTACAGTTAAACACAATGTTCTCTGCTGACAAAGATAACATGCGGGAGTGCTGAGGTGGCAGGAAACAGATCTATATTAAGATCAAAGATTCACACGTCAACATAAACATTAATAAATAACATTTAGATTGAGGAAGTGAAAGGAGATTCATGTTTTCTCTGCCTGGATGTGTCTTTGTGTCACTGCCCTGTACTGTATGAAGTGTTCATGGATTAAATTAAATGACATTTTGTATTTCATGCATTGATGACATGACATAATGGGTAATATTGAAATGAAGTACCATGACTGGGTTGTATGTGCTATAAAGCATTTATTATGTGTGAGTTTGTGTGGTCATGTTTCTTAAAGTATTTTTTATGTGTGGTTATGTGTCGTAGAGCATTTATTACTGGGTTTAGTATCTTGGTGTTGACTTGGACTGAGGCACTTGAACGCACTAGGCAACTTGAAATCACAACATGATACAATTAAATTAAATGGTGGGTGCGTGTCTATGTGTGTGTATACAGTGTTTGTACACTGTGGTGTGTGTCAGGTATGGTATTTGGAATCTTGTTCTCCTGTGTTTCAGATGAGGACAGTCCAGAGGAGACCCTGACTGTTCTCAACACAGGATTACACGAGTTCGCTTTCAGCTTCCTGCTACCACAGATGTACGTAACAGATGTGCACACACAAAGCTATAACAGCCATAACATAAAATCCAAAAACCCAAATATGGAATCATATCTAAAGATAGACCTGTAAGAAGTCTAATCCTATAAACCTATTTCCTCTCTCCCCTCCTCCCCCTCTCTCAGGCCGCTAGCCACGTCGTTTGAAGGGAAGCATGGCAGTGTGAGGTACTGGGTGAGGGCAGAGCTCTACAGACCATGGCTGCTGCCTGTCAGAGTCAAGAAAGAGTTCACTGTCTTTGAACACATTGACATCAACACACCACTGCTACTGGTGAGGAACACACACACACACACACACACACACACACACACACACACACACACACACACACACACACATAAATACAAGTTGTCACACACAATTTGTGACTGTGCCATTTCTGTGTATAGGCCCCTCAAGCTGGCACTAAGGACAAGACCCTGTGTTGCTGGTTCTGTGCCTCGGGACCCATCTCACTCAGCGCCAAAATAGAGAGGAAAGGATACACACCAGGTGAGAAACACACACACACACACACACACACACACACACACACACACACACACACACACACACACACGTTGATTGGCTAATGATGATTTCCACTCAATCTAACCACACACTGCTCTGAATGTTTCACAACACAACATACTCAAACACCAGAGGGAACTTACAGCACTGCAGATATGCATACACAGGCACGCATCCGTGCACGCACACACACACACACACACACACACACACACACACACACACACACACACACACACACACACACACACACACACACACACACACACACACACACACACACACACACACACACACACAGCCCCATACCCACATCTCCCCCATCTCACAGTCTTTTCTCCTATCCTCCTCTCTTAGGTGAGTCCCTACAGATCTTTGCGGAGGTGGAGAACTGTTCATCCAGGGTGGTGGTGCCCAAGGCAGCGCTGTGCCAGACCCAGACCTACTTCGCTAAGGGCAAGGCTCGGCAGCTCCAGCAGCAGGTGGCAGCCCTGCGTGGGGACACCCTGCCCCAGGGGAAGAGCCAGAGCTGGGACGGAAAATTGCTCCACATACCCCCAGTCTCCCCATCCATCCTGGACTGTCCACTCATCAGAGTGGAGTACTCACTGGTGGTGAGGAATGATAATAAACATAGTATAGTTTATATGGTAATACATGTGTTAATATGGTAGAATAGGAAATAAGTGTTGTCAGTCAAATTACCTCCTAAAATCTAACCGGTTTAGCAGGTACTTTCCAGTCATGTACAGTACTGTAAAAGTTATAGTATATCAAAATGTGGGCTGTAAATAAGATAATATCTCTCTCTCTCTCTCTCTCCTCTCTCTCTCTCTCTCTCTCTCTCTCTCTCTCTTCTCTATCTCGCTCTCTCTCTCTCTCTCTGCTCGCTACTCTCTCTCTCTCTCTCTCTCTCTCTCTCTCTCTCTCTCTCTCTCTCTCTCTCTCTCTCTCTCTCTCTCTCTCTCTCTCTCTCTCTCTCTCTCTCAGGTGTATGTGGACATCCCTGGGGGGTTGAACCTGTCTCTGTCGTTGCCGTTGGTGATCGGGACCATCCCCCTCCACGCATTCGCCAGTCGAACCAGCAGCATCAGCAGCTACTGTAGTACCATCAGCTGGCCAGAGAGACCTGAGGGTACGACATACACGTGTGTGTGTGTGTGTGTGTGTGTACTGTGTGAGGAGTGTGTGTGTGTTTCCAGTTAACCATGCTCTGTGCGTGTTTGTGTGTATTGTGTGTGTTGTTTGTCTGTGTTCTCCCATGTTAATTCCATGCTGTGTGTGTATTCACAGCTCCCCCCAGCTACAGTGACCTGGCGGTGACAGAGGAGCAGAGGCGGGGCTGTCTGGAGCGCCGTGAGGGGTCAGAGGTCAACGAAGAGGACCAGGAAACGCTGCAAGCTTACATCACAGAGTTCAGATACCAGCCCCCACCGCTCTACTCTGAGGTACAATCACACACACGCACATGCACACACACCACGCATGCACGCACACGCACAGTATTGTAGGTCAAACTAGCCTAATCTTCTCTCTCTATGTTTCTCAGCTTGACCCTAACCCAGAGCCGGGCTGTGGAGGTCAGGAGACCCGACCCCTGACCCTGTCGCTGAGGACAACACTGACCTGCTCAGAGCAGACAGGCAACTACACCTACAGATGAATCCAACATGGCCACCGCTATAGCCCCCCTACTGGAGCCAGTCACCTACAGATGGATCCAACATGACCACTGCTACAGCCCCCTAAAGCGGACCAACATGGCCGTCTCATCCTTAGTTTCCTCAGGATGGGGTCCATGGATGTTAACAGATACAGGGATGTCAGCTGCGAGAGACACTGAGTGGAGAGGCCAGGAGACGCCTCAGTCTGACCAACATGGCGGTTCTCTGCTGGTCAGGATGAACAGATAGTGCCTAGACCCAGCTTCGGATACTTATGACCATTACATGGCACATCTAAGACTAGAAAGGAGAGAAGAAGAAGAAAAGCGAGAATCCACTGTTGGACTGTTGGAAACAGTGGTCAGGAATCTCCTCCAGCCTCAGAGTGAATTTTGCACATGCCTTTCTCGCTGTTTGTCTACTTAACTTCCACAGCTTTTCTTCCTCAACGCTCATATATGCTGCAACACGTCCGTTGTGTTCTTAACACCATTACTACGTAACCAGAAACAGCACCGAACACAGACTCTTTTAGTATAAATTAAGAAACAAATGAAAATATATGTTTTTAGAGATGTGTTAATGTGTCTTGGGTTTCTTGAATGGGGAATGTCGTACATGGTGAAATGACTAGTGTGTGACAGACACAGGTGAAGCACTCACTCACACTCTCTGTCTTTCTGGTGTCTTTCCTCACTAAACCCTCCACAGATACAGTACCCTACAAAGCACTTGTTTGAATGTAGTATATTGACATTTGACACAGAGAGAGAGAAGCTCTGTATTACATAAGAGGGAGAGGAACAGACAGTTGTAAAAAAAAAATACAAATAAAATACATTTTAAATGTTTACAGGTCAATTGTGGTTTTGAAAAGAAGATCAATCCAACCGAGATTGTAATTCAAAGATTATCTCTACTTCCAAACTGATACAAAGTGCAAAATATTTTTGTATTTGTTGTTTTTCTATGTTTGTGTACGTGACACTATTATTGCCATTACTGAAATTAATGCAATCACGCTCTTCCTTTGTAAGAAATAAAGAAGCCTTTTTGTAGAAACTGTTTGAGCTGTGTACGCCTTAGTTCAGTGGAGTATTAGCAGGGTTATTGGGACCCACTATCACTGTGTCTACACTACAGCAGGGTTTGAAGAGAGCTGTCTGTTCCATCTGCCTCTCATGGGCTCTCTCTCCCTCCCTCTCTTCCCCTCTCTCCCTCTATCCTCTCTCTTTCCATTCCAATGTCTGAGAGACAGACAGGACAAGGAAAAATTGTCTCCTCCAACACGCTCTTTCTCTCTCTTTCTCGCTCTCTCACGCACACATACATATACACACACAGAGCTCTACAGGCAGACAATATGAAACAGACATGCGTCATGAGTTCCTGGAATGTTCACATTTGTAAGCATTCAAATCAGCCTAGTAGTAGTTTACCGCACATACACACACACACATACACACGTGCGCACACACACACACACAAAGAGAACAGATGTTGGCTAAGGCTCATGTGAACTACTAACCTAGTTCCTCTCTGTGGTCTGGACACAGTATTGTGGACATATTCTGTAGTTTAATCTCTGACACTACAACTCATCTGATCTCTCTCTCTATCCATCCCTTGTTTGCGCTTCTCTCGAGCCCCATTTTCTAACATGGATCCTTTGGTTTTGTCCCGATCTTGTCCACCTTTTGATTGTGCCCACATTTTCAGACAGGTGTAGACGATTAAAAGACACTGTCTGGAAATCTTACAAGTGTAGACAGATTTGGACAGTGAAACCATTTAAATCATCATGATCCCACCTTCTAAAATCATTGATAGGTGGCACCATTGAGTTATTGCATCAATATGTGTCTTAAAATAAATACATATTATTTTGAAAGAATAGCTGTCAAATAGGAGGGACCAGGAAATCTGATCACAATGCGGACACAGTGGATGGATATGAAACACATGAAACACATTTTAATACCATGTGTAGACATATTTCGGAAAATGTGGACAAAATCAGAATGTTTTTTTTTTTAAGCTCTAAACTAAGGGTACTAAGCTAACATATGGAATTGTTTTAAGATGGTAATACCATGGATTATTTAGCTATTTGATTTGGAATTTTAGGAGCCCTTTAGGTATCCCATATTTATTTTATTTTATTATTTGACCAAATATAGAATTTGTCCTTTACTACTATAGCCCATAGAAACGCATTGAATAACACATTCAAAAATGGCAAAAAACACAGTCAAAAAATTATTCATAAGGAATAAGGTTTTGAAGTGTCTGTCCTATATCTAGGAGATATAAGAAAGCTCAGGAAATATGTATATATTTTTTGGACACATATTTAACTCCTTATTTTTGTTGGCACAAAACTACCTCCATACTTCCATTTGTTTCTATGGGTTACCTTCAGATGCGTTTGTCGCTCAAACAGTTCGGACGCCACAGACAGAAGTTGGCACATCAGCGTTACTGACTTCAGACGAGTCCAACACATACCGTTATAGCTTGGCCACCTTCCACTGCAGATGTGGAATGCCAACATAGGCGGATACGGTTGATTGAGATGCAGTCCATGCAAAAAACCTGATATCGCTGGCTTAAACTAACAGATTTTGATGGGGATTTTTTGTTATATTAGATCCATGACATAGTGTCATACTTAATTATACCAACAGAAAATAAAGTTAGCTACAGAATACGGAGAATGAACAGAGTGCATCTTCAAGACCCGAAATGTATTAATAAATATGTAAATACAAATAAATAATAAATAAAATGTAGAGAAAATCTTTACAAGGTAAATAAGAAAATAAAAACGTCTGAACTTAAGCAGGAATATGATCTTTTACTTTTGAAGAGAGCCAACAACTACAGGTTAAACTCAAATAAAGCATACTATTTCATAGCAAATAAACCAGGTAAACATCTTGTAGCCCTCACAAAACTATTTTTAAAGATACAAATGTGTCAATTAGAAACATCAATGTGATTAATGACCATTTTAAAAGTTTCTATGAAAATCTGTATAAATCAGAATTAAACAATAGTTGTGACAATACAATAACAACAAAGCTCATAAGCTTCCCAGACTTGATACATATCAATAAAACATGGTAAAAAAAAAATAGACACTTACAAACAAATACAAGAACACAGTTTAATACAATATGCAAAAAAACTATATATAGATTTATCAATAATGTCTGTTGATGCCGAAAAGGCTTTCGACCGTATTGAATGGTCTTTTCTATTCAAAACTTTCGAAGCTTTTAACTTTCCAGCTGAAATAATACATTTTATAAAAATAGTATATAAATGTCCTAAAGCAAAAATATACACAAATAATACATTATCTGATGAAATTGCTTTAGAAAGGGGTACAAGACAGGGATGTCCTCTCTCCCCCTCCTGTTTGCACTGGCAATTTAACCTCTTGCAGAAAGAATTAGACAGGACCCAAAAGTAACTACAGTGGCTTGCGAAAGTATTCACCCCCCTTTTTCCTATTGTGTTGCCTTACAACCTGGAATTAAAATGGATTTTTTGGGGGTTTGTATCATTTGATTTACACAACATGCCTACCACTTTGAAGATGCAAAATATTTTTTATAGTGAAACAAACAAGAAATAAGACAGAAAAACAGAAAACTAGAGTGTGCATAACTATTCACCCCCTCCAAAGTCAATACTTTGTAGAGACACCTTTTGCAGCAATTACAGCTGCAAGTCTCTTGGGGTATGTCTCTATAAGCTTGGCACATCTAGCCACTGGGATTTTTGCCCATTCTTCAAGGCAAAACTGCTCCAGCTCCTTCAAGTTGGATGGGTTCCGCTGGTGTACAGCAATTTTAAGTCATACCACAGATTCTCAATTGTATGAGGTCTGGACTTTCCAAGACATTTAAATGTTTCCCCTTAAACCACTCAAGTGTTCCTTTAGCAGTATGCTTAGGGTCATTGTCCTGCTGGAAGGTGAACCTCAGTCCCAGTCTCAAATCTCTGGAAGACTGAAACAGGTTTTCCTCAAGAATTTCCCTGTATTTAGCGCCATCCATCATTCCTTCAATTCTGACCAGTTTTCCAGTCCCTGCCGATGAAAAACATCCCCACAGCATGATGCTGCCACAACCATGCTTCACTGTAGGAATGGTGTTCTCGGGGTGATGAGAGGTGTTGGGTTTGCGCCAGACATAACGTTTTCCTTGATGGCCAAAAAGTTCAATTTTAGTCTCATCTGACCAGAGTACCTTCTTCCATATGTTTAGGGAGTCTCCCACATGGCTTTTGGCGAACACCAAACGTGTTTGCTTATTTTTTTCTTTAAGCAATCGCTTTTTTCTGCCCACTCTTCTGTAAAGCCCAGCTCTGTGGAGTGTACGGCTTAAAGTGGTCCTATGGACAGATACTCCAATCTCCGCTGTGGAGCTTTGCAGATCCTTCAGGGTTATCTTTGGTCTCTTTGTTGCCTCTCTGATTAATGCCCTCCTTGCCTGGTCCGTGAGTTTTGGTGGGCGGCCCTCTCTTGGCAGGTTTGTTGTGGTGCCATATTCTTTCCATTTTTTAATAATGGATTTAATGGTGCTCCGTGGGATGTTCAAAGTTTTGGATATTTTTTTATAACCCAACCCTGAGCTGTACTTCTCCACAACTTTGTCCCTGACCTGTTTGGAGAGCTCCTTGGTCTTCATGGTGCCGCTTGCTTGGTGGTGCCCCTTGCTTAGTGGTGTTGCAGACTCTGGAGCCTTTCAGAACAGGTGTATATATACTGAGATCATGTGACAGATCATGTGACACTTAGATTGTACCTTTATTTAACTAGGCAAGTCAGTTAACAACAAATTCTTATTTACAATGACGGCCTAAACCGGCCAAACCCGGATGACGCTGGGTCAATTGTGCGCCGCCCTATGGAACTCCCAATCACG